TCGCTCTTGATGCTGCTGCTGTTAACCTTGTCTCGCGCTTCTTTTTTAGGACGGATGGGGTCACAGGTGATCATACCCTATCGGTGTGATACATACGACTTAATGCACCTTCGACCCATGGGCGACCTGGGCCAGATTATCTTCCTGGTAAGAGAGCCTTTCTGACTGGTTATTAGAGGTAACAATGTGAATTACGGTCATTCCTTCCAGAACAGACCAAGGGCATCCCACAGCTGGAAGGCATTCTGTCAGTTAGGTTCCTGCATTCTGTATGTTGCCAGGCAAACTGTAGACCAGTGGTCAGCCAACTTTTCCTGTAAAGGGTCAAAAGGGTCAACTAGTAAATATCTTCTGTTCCGAGGGATCATAGGGCCTTCGCTGTCGTTACTCAAGCTCTGCCAGTTTAGCCTGAAAACAGACACAGACAACAAATCAACGGACCGGGCTATCTCCCCATAAAACTTTGTTTCCAGCATTAGGATGTAGGCTGGATTTGACCCGTGAGCCGTGGTTTGCCAACCCTGGCCATGAACCTGAGCCGTCCCATGTGGTTGCTATTGAGCACTTGAAATGGGCTTAGTCTGCGTTGGGGTGAGTTGTAAGTGTGAAATATAGCCTAGATTTCAAAGGCTCAATATAAAGAAAATAATGTCTGCTGTATCATTACTAATAGTTTGCATTTATTATATGTTGAAATGCTACTTTGGACATATTGTGTTAAATAAAATATAATGAGGTTTACTTGTTACTCTTTATACTTTATAATATGGTTACTGGATAGTTTGGAATGACATTTATGCCTCACCTTGTACGTGGGTACTTCAGAAAGTTTGTGGGAAAATGGAATGAAAGATAGAGAAACTTCCCATGACCTTTTTGAAGCCCCCCCCCCCCCTTCATTTTTCTTTCATCAGTTATGCTCTAGATTGAGAAAAGTCACAAACAGGCCACTTATCACTTGTTGGCGTGGCAGAGACTTAAATTAGGACAGCTCTTGCTGAGCATTG